ATATGTATATATATATATATATAGATAAATAGATCCCTTGTACTCCATCAAAATTCAACATTTTCTTTTTGTTTCTCTTTTAATCAAGTCATATATCACTCATCCTATTCCTATCCTCACTTTTATCCCTTTCTCTTTTTTCTTCTCTAAATATTGGATAGGGTTTGGTATCCACCAAGCATTTTTCTTATTATATATAAGCAATTCTGTTATTTGATTGAGTACTTACCTTAGAATAACTGCCAACAAAAAAGTAATAGAGGGTGCGGAGTTCATGACAGCAGATAAGAAAGATGCCGACGTGAATTTCATGCCCAAGAGACCGAAGCATTGATTCAGAATTATTCTGCATGCAATTAACAATATATAATTTGATTAACTATGTGTAGAGAGAGGAGTTACACTAAATAAATAACAACAGATTGGAAGTTGATTTTCATATAAAATTATAAATTAATGTAAGATAATGATTACTCAAAGAAAGCGAGAGCCATAATCTCTGAAAATATCCGGACAGTCATCTTGGGCCTAACTTTCCTGCAAAAACAATATTTCTATTAGTAGAGCTGAATATTCATGAGTCATGACATTAACTTTATTTTTACTTTAGAACAGGCAAAATTACCAACAAAGTGACTTTAAAAAGCATATATATTAAATCATGTACACGCATGCATGGTTGATATTACACGAATAATGAACGAGAGTTAAGGGCAAAGAGACCTTTCTAGAACAAATGCGAAGGGAGCGAGAGTTACAGAAGCGATGGCATTACGATAGACGATGAACACGTAATGACTCATTCCCTTCTTAATAGCATGCATCGCAAAAATGAACATGCCAGCAGAACCAAATTGAACTGCCAATAACAGCAGATATGGCTTTGCATTTGTGAACCACGTGCACATACTCATCTTATATTCTTACTAATCTCTCGATTCCTACGTGTGTGTGTGTGAGAGAGAGAACTGAGAAGTGAAATTGCTTAGGTTTATCTGCAATTCACTGCCAAACCAATTCTGGCTATCTTAATATTTATACCCAACCGCAGAATATGTTCAATAAATATATAAATAATCCAAAAAGATGCTTAATATTCTCTACATTATGTGTTCGCCGCGCAGCTGCAATATTATAAAGCAAAATAAACAACGGGGTGTCGAGTAATTAGTCATGCAAGAGGTTAATCAGTGTGCTGTGCGTATAATCTCCGCAATGAGTTTCAGCTCGGTGGAATCCCACTTTTCAAAATTATATTCTATTTTTTTTATACCCGCTTCATCGAAAGAATATAATTTATATGCATTATTAATATAATCCTATTCTTATTTCATGCTTGTCTATGGTGTTTAATTTATATTGACGGTATATAGATTATTAATTATCTTATTTTATATTTAATTTTTTTAAAATATTAATTATTATTGTGTTAATTATATTTTATTTTTTACCTTCTTCTATTTTTTAATCATTTTACACTATATTTGTCATAAAATAAAAAATAAGAAAAATGATAAATGATAAACAACATAACTAAACATTAACTTATATAATAAAAATTACAATATTTTTAATAAAGCTAAAAATACTGATTATATATATTTTTTATTTGTTGTATACCAATCTTAAAGAATATTTAAATAGAAATAGAGATAATGTTGAGAAGGCTGTACTATAGAATATATGCAAAACAAATCACACGAGGAGACATGGTGGGTTAAAAGGGAACATATTCTTCATATATATTTAGGGTTGTGATTAACGTACACCGATGGACGAGGGTGAAAAAGAAGACAGAACAAAAATAATAGAAAAAAGGTAGAGCTAGAGTAAAAGTAACAAATATAATAGATGATGTGATTAAAAAAAGAGATGAAAGAGAAATTAGATTTATGATTATAAATTAATTTTTTAATAAGTTTGGCGGGTCATATTTCCTATAAAAAAATTACTACAATTTATTTGTTTAGTTAATATTGTTAAATAAGACATATTAAAAGTCAACATAGCGAATCCTGCCTTGTGTATGTAGCCGCGTTAAATCTTGGGGCCAGCTATCCCACCCTTTGAGGTGCCTCCAACGTAGTAAGGAGATTAGTCATTGCTATCAACGATAGATACTCCAGGAACGAACCTAAAAAAAAACATAGCATGTAACGTCCACCACCAGTGTAATCTGAGTCATCATGACCATCAAATACGACATGTCAAAATACTATATGCGTTATTTTAAAGATAAATTTACTCATTAAAAAAATTCTTTCAATTTTAGCTCTCACAAAATATTTGAATTTAAATATATAATGAAACAGCTAAATTTACTTAATTTTAAAAATAGGAAATTTTAATTAATCGAAAATAATTTGAGTAATTACAATCATGTATGATATAAAAAAACAGAAAATATCATTAAATAACTAAAAGTAAAATATTTTTCATGAGAAAACATATTAAATACACTAACATTTTTAATAATTTATATGATTTTTTTTTACTAAAATAAAGTTGTTTCGCATGCAAATAACCAAATTTCAAACAAATTGTTATTTTGGGATGATGAATAGTACTGTTGCTACTTGCTAGGTTAAAGCAGAAAACTCTCCCTGTCACATTATTGATTTTTTTAAAACTTTTTCTCTCAAAAAATAGGTTGTAGTGCTGTGCTACTCGTTGCGCCAACATGGAGAGGTGTAATTTATAAAAGAAAATTTGAAATTATCATTGTGCCTTATAACGACACTATTTTTATTTATTTATTTATTTATTTTACTTTTTTAAGTATCATTATTGTGAGCACAATTAAACCTATCATTTTATTTAAAGATTTTCGTTGGAGCCTACAACGATACAATTTGTTTTTTTATTTTGGTATCGACACAACTACGTTAGTTTTTATTTTATTTAATTATTTCTTATGTGATCCTTTATTACAATAGTAATGGTTTAAAATTAGTATAGGCAAATTTTCAAAATATTTTTAATTTAATATAATAATAATTTTTTAATATTTTTAATATAATATAATTTATTTAATTATAATATTTTTTTTTTGAATTTTTAAGAGAAGTAAAAATTAATTAAAAATAATTTGGACATAACACTAACTTAAAAAAAATGATAATAGTATTTATGGTTTTGGTTTTTAATTATAATATAGGTGAAAATTATTTAAAACTAGTATAAATATTTTTCTTTTAAATATTTTGAATATAATAGAAGAAGTATTTTAAGGTTTGCATTTTTACTTTTTTACTAAATTTTATTTGATTGTTTTAAAAATAATTATTAATTTTATTACTTAATAAAAATGTGTAATTAAAGGTTACAACGACACTTAAAAAAAATAATAACTGGTTTCATTGTAAGTCATGGCAAAAACCATAAAAATAACATAAATTAGTTGTAGTTGTGAGCCGTAGTGTCACTTAAAAAAAATAGTTTCCTTAATTATAAGTCACAATGGGGAATTTAGTATATTTGATTAACTGCAAAAGTTTATTTACATTGAAGAGCTTTACATTGAAGTAACACTTTACACAATCAATAATAAATAAGTTATACAAGTGAGTTTGATATCATAATATAATTCAAAATTTTAAAGCATTAAATATATATGAATCTTTTTTGCTTATATATTAATATTATTCAACATGTTCAATTCTAACCAATGTGGAATTTTACTTCACACTTTAACTTCGACACTTCCCCTCAAGTATGAATCCCTCTCACATGGTCATGCTATCTCTTAAGTGGAAGTCTTTTTCGTCCACGAATATTCAATAGTTATCTACTTGTACCGTCGTTACACATCAACAACATACATCCTCCACCTCTTTAAAGAGACTCTTAGTACAAGAGATGATTTCACTATTGGATCTCCTATTAATTCCATTCAAGATCCCAACAATTTAAAAAAAAATTAAATTAAAGTTAAAAAAAATAGGTGACATAAGTGCTTTTGTATTAATTAGCAACAACTGTTGTTGATCACTCCAAAATAAAAATTGTTTCTAACCGGGCTTACTTAGATAATTTGTTCAGTTAAGTGCTCTCCTTTGGAGACAAAAAAATGTAATTAAGTTTTTTTTGTTCTTGAAACTCAAGTTGAATATGAGAGGAAGCAAATTAGCCAGAAATAGATATTACAATATACCATTGTCTATTTATTAACTTATTTTAATTAAGTTGTTAATTAGTTTTTTTTTATCTTTTTTATTTCTTTAGCTGTTAGTTTAGACCAATTTAGCCCGTGTAGGTTAGTTTTTCTGTGTTGCCTTTTCTTGAGGTATATATATAGCTTTGTAATTCTTACTTTGCAATTAATAAGAAGTATTTCATTCAATATTTTTTTCTCTTTCTCCTTGGATCGCCTTTTCTTTCTTTCGGTTCTTTGTTCATCTCCTTCATCATTGAAGGAACATTGATATGATATCAAAAAACTTTTTGATCATCTTTCGCATATTCTGATTCTAATTTTTTTCTTACAATTACCATGGTTGTTGTTGCGTAAAAGTAAGATGCTTCACCAATTTAGATTGATCAACATGATCCTTTCTTCATTCACCATGTTGATCATCCAAGTCAAAGCCTCGTGTCCACACCTTTGAATGGTGACAACTTTTGTTCTTGGAGACGTGCTATTTTATTGCATTTGAATCCAAGAACAATATGGGTTTTGTAAATGGTTCAATCCTGAAGCCAACTGATCCAACTAAACTTTCTTTATGGAAAAGAAATGATAGCATTATGAGATCATGGCTTCTCAATTCAATCAACAAAGACATTGCTACGAGTGTCATTTACTCCTCCACCATTGCGATCTTGTGGGAAGATTTAAACTTGAGATATAGGCAACAAAGTGGGACTCGGGTTTTCCAATTAAAGGAAGCAATTTTTTCTTGCATAAAGGATCAATGTTTGTCAGCCAGTATTTTGCCAAGATCAAGAAGAATTGACTGATTTCTACCACCTCACTCTTGCACATGTGAGGGAGTGAAGCCTTTGCTAGAGTACCTTTATTATGAGCTTGTGATGTCTTTTTTAATGGATCTCAATGAAAACTGTTCCTAGATCAGTGGCCAGATCTTGCTAATGGATCCCATTCCTTCAATAAGTCAAGTTTTTTCACTTGTGGTTCAAGAAGAAAAAAGGCAAGAAGTTGACATTCCTATACAACAACCACCACCAATTGCCTTTGTTGTTCCTTAATCCAACTCCAAACCTCAACAATTTGGTCCAATCAAGAAGGAAAGACCCAAATGTAGTCACTATAAAATTCTTGGCCATACAGAAAACAAATGTTATAAGAAGCATGGATACCTTGCAAGTTACAAGAAATCCACTCCCAATGTAAAACAAGTCATTGATTCTAATGATTTCAACACAAGAGATAGCCTAATGCAGTTGACAAAGGCTTAATATGATTAGCTCCTAAACCTTCTTCAAAATTAGGTAGCACCTGCTGGAACATCACAATAGTATAACCCTTCAAACTCACCTAAAAATGGTAAGTTGAGCTTTTCTTTTTTCAAGAACTTGGCCTTCACTGCGTATCCAAACAAAGGAAATTCCTCCATCTGGATAGTAGACTCAGGGGCTACTACACATATTACATGTTTTGTAGATAATTTTTTCTGCTACAACAACTTAGAAAATCAATTTGTTTACTTTCTCGCTGGAAGTGTTGTTGAAGTAAAAGCCATTGTCACTGTTAAATTGAGTAACAATGTCATTCTCCACAAAGTCTTGTTTATACCAAACTTTAAATTCAATCTTATATCTGTAAGTTTCCTAACTTAGTTTACTAGGAACAAGATTCTTTTTGATCATTCTTCTTTTTCCATACAAGATCACTAGGATTCGAGGGTTATTGGCAAGGGTAGCATCCTGGATGGCCTCTACATTCTAAAAAATCCAAACAATAAGTCTTCTAGTTCTTTCTTGCATTCTTCAAATCATACCATTGCCAATGTTAGTAATA